AGAATTCCAGAGCCAGCCACGCTGAGGGAAAAGGGAGAGGTTTCCAAGCTGAGCCATGCTGGCTCAGGAATTCTGGGAGTTGAAGTCCACGAGTCATAAAAGAGCCAAGGTGGCCTACCCCTGGTCTAGTCTAATGAAAAGAAGGACCAGGGGGTGACATGATAGCAGTCTTCCAATATCTGAGGGTCTGTCACAAAGAAGAGGGAGTCCAGCTATTCTCCAAAGCACCTGAAGGCAGGACAAGAAGCAATGGGCGGAAAATAATCAAGGAGAAAATCAACCTAGAACTAAAGAGAAATTTCCTGACAGTTAGCACCATTAATCAGTGGAACGACTTGCCTTCAGAAGCTGTAAATGCTCCAACACTGGAAGTTTTTAAGAAGAGATTGGAAACCATTTGCCTGAAATTACATAGGGGTTCCTGCTTGAGCAGGGGGTTGGACTAGACCGGGGCTTTTCAACCTTTTCACCCATTGTACCACTTTTAGGATATGGCAATATCCGAGTACCACCAGCCGCCTAGCAAAGTGTCAAAAACTTGATGACATCCCCCCCAAAAAAGGAAAAATGTGATAAAGTACAGGTAGTCCTCAACTTACAACAGTTCGCTTAGTGACTGTTCGAAGTTACAATGGCACTGAAAAAAGTGCCCCCCACGCCACAGCCGAGCAAGACATCTGCCTGCCCATCCGGTGGCGCTCTTCCTCCTGTCCGAGGTTTTCATTGTTGTGAGCATTTCTGTTGAGGATTGGCAGCGGGGGTGGGGTGGAGGGTGTTTTGTTTTTATTCCCCCCGTCTGCTGGGTGGTTGCAGCAGGTTTTGGTCACTTCACATGACCCTGGGACACTGTGACCGTCATAAATATGAATAAGTTGCCAAGCATCTGAATGTAAATCACAAGACCCTGGAGATGCTGCAATATTCCAGCTGATCGGCACTTCTTCTGGGCTCAGCAGAAGCACCAGGATCAGTGCTGCTTTCCAGCTGATTGGTGCTTCTTCAGGGCTCAGCAGAAGCACCAGGATCAGTGCTGCTTTCCAGCTGATCGGCACTTCTTCTGGGCTCAGCAGAAGCACCAGGATCAGTGCTGCTTTCCAGCTGATTGGTGCTTCTTCTGGGCTCAGCAGAAGCACCAGGATCAGTGCTGCTTTCCAGCTGATTGGTGCTTCTTCAGGGCTCAGCAGAAGCACCAGGATCAGCGCCGAGCTCCAGCTGGAGCCTGGCACTGATCCTGGCGTTTCCACTGAGCCCTGACAGCCCCAAAAAAGCGCCGATCAGCTGGAAAGCAGCGCTGATCCTGATGCTTCCGCTGAGCCCTGACAGCCCTGCAGCTCCAGCCATCTCTCGCTCAGGCTTGTGCGGTGCTGCCATCGGTTCAGCTCATTCTTCTCCCCCGCTACCACTTTTCTAGGATGGTCGCGTACCACCTGCCAGGTGCCAATGTACCACAGGTGGTACCCGTACCACTGGTTGAAAAGCCCTGGACTAGAAGACCTCCCTTCTACCCCATTGGGCTGCTGTTCTGCTATTCACCCCAATGCTCTCTTTTTTCCCCCCTCCCACAAGGCTCCTTACCTCTGGCACGACGTCGATGGGCTCCGGAGATGCTTGGAGCTCAGCACCGAGCCTCTCGGGGCTGTTGTCTTCCGTCCGCAGGGCAATGGGCTGGATCTGAAGGGCCGGCGGGGGCAGGATTTTGATCTGCAGGGGGGGCGGGGGCTGCTGGAGGTTGAGGCGCACCTTCTGCTGCAGGGGCGGCTGCTGCATGGCCTGAAGAGGGGGGGGCTGCTGGAGAATGGTGACCGGCTGGGCGGGGGGCTGCTGAGGCATCTGCTGAAGAGGGGGAGGCTGCAGCCGCGGCAGGTGCATGGACGAAGCGGCTGCGGCGGCCGCAGCTAAAACCGAGCGCGTGACGATCTGGGTGGTCCCTGTCCCAGCCTGCAGCTGCCCCAGCTGGATCCCCCGCGAGGTCACCATCGTGGCGGGTATGACCGTCACCACCCCGCCTTGCGACGTGACCGCCAGCGAGGACGGCAGCATCTGTTTGGGAATGATGATCTTGGTGATGCTGGTTTGGCCGGCCGACTGGGGGCCGGCGCTGGAGGTCACCACCACCGTGGGCTGGGTGGGGACGACCGCGGGAGGAGGAGGAGGTGGAGGAGGAGGAGGTGGGCTCTCCAGGGCCGGAGGATTGGCTGGCACCGGGGCCACCGGGGGAGAAGCCGATTCCACAACGGGGGCCGGCGGCTCTGAAGGAGAGGCGATCGGGTCCAGATCCACCGTCTCAACCGTGGTCTGTGGAAGACAAAATCGGCGATACAGTTCAAGAACAGAGCAGAACAGATCTTTCTCCTAAGATCTCAAGAGATGCAGGCACCAAAGTTTCAGGGAGCAAATTGCGAACCTGACATAATTTGACCGGTGGAAACCACACAATGTGTTTGACCCAGTTGACCGAGGTGTGCAAAATATAAAGTTCTAAGTGCTGACAAGAGCAGAACGACAAAATTTGTATAGATTTTTTTTTTTAAAAAACCTGTTTTTATTACTTTCTAAGTAACTCAAGGCAGTGAATATACATGGTACTCTTTCCTCCTCCTGTTTTTTCCACAACCCTGTGAGGTGGGTTAGGCTGAGAGAGAGAGACTGGCTGGCTTTAATGGTTAAGGTGGGACTACAATTCCCAGTCTCTTGGGGATTGGCCTAAAGTCACCCAGCTGGCTTTCGTGGCTTAGATGGGACTAGAATTTCCAGTCTCCTGGCGATTGGCTCAAAGTCATCCAGCTGGCTTTTGTGGCTAAGATGGGACTAGAACTTCCAGTCTCCTGTGACTGGCCCAAAGCCACCCAGCTGACTTTCGTGGCTAAGATGGGACAAGAACTTCCAGTCTCCTGGTGACTGGCCCAAAATCATTCAGCTGGCTTTCGTGGCTAAGATGGGACTAGAACTTCCAGTATCCTGTGACTGGCCCAAAGCCACCCAGCTGACTTTTGTGGCTAAGGTGGGACAAGAACTTCCAGTCTCCTGGTGATTGGCCCAAAATCATTCAGCTGGCTTTCGTGGCTAAGGTGGGACTAGAACTTCCAGTCTCCTGGTGATTGGCCCAAAATCACCCAGCTGGCTTTCGTGGCTTAGATGGGACTAGAACTTCCAGTCTCCTGGTGATTGGCCCAAAATCACCCAGCTGGCTTTCGTGGCTTAAATGGGACTAGAACTTTCAGTCTCCTGGTGATTGGCCCGAAATCACCCAGCCGACTTTTGTGGCTAAGATGGGACTAGAACTTCCAGTCTCCTGGTGATTGGTGAAAGCCACCCAGCTGGCTTTCGTGGCTAAGATGGGACTAGAATTTCCAGTCTCCTGGTGATTGGCTCCAAATCACCCAGCCGGATTTCGTGGCTAAGATGGGACTAGAACTTCCAGTCTCCTGGTGATTGGCGAAAGCCACCCAGCTGGCTCTCATGCCTATGACAGGATTAAAAACTCGTGTTCTCTTGTTTTCTAGTCTGATGCGTAACCATTAGACCTAACCGGCTCTCGGTAGTCTTGTTTACATGAAACTGGACAGTATGAGCCCCTAGTGACAGAGCCCACCCAAACCCCTATCTGTAGCAATCTAGCATTTTTAGCTTTGCATTAAAAGGGGGCACGGCAGATGGAGTGGTTGGAATGCTGGACAGGTTAGCCAGCCCACATTCGAGGACTGCTGTGGAACAGGGTTGAGCGCCCGTCATTCCCTCCAGCTCCTTGACAGGGACATGAAAGGAGCCCCCACAGGCATCCCCAGGGCAACGGGGATGTCGCCAGCTAATCCTTTCAACCTGGAAGCACCTCGATGCTTCTGACTCAAGTGCAAAAAAAAAAAAAAGCTTTACACTTATTAGCCCGCAAACCTCGAGTAACAGCCCGGGGTTGGCTTCCTATTCTCTGGGTACACAAGTTTGTATTATCCACCCTTGAGTGAGCTACTTCTACCTTAAATTCTCAAGCATTACGCAAAACAGGGACGCCTCATTGAAGCTCTTTAGCTTACCCCAAACTACTTATTTTTCTCTTTCGATCGACATCAAACAGAAAGAGGAACAAATGTCAAGAGGGAAGAATCTTAGAGCAGGGGGACCGACCGCCAAACCTTTTGATGTCCCCTTTCATGTTTGCAACAGCAATCCTCAGCAGTCTGCAAGCCGAGACAGGGCAGCGGTAAAGGTGCTGGCCTAGAAACCAGGAGACGGTGAGTTCTAGTCCTGCTTTAGGCATGAAAATTGACTGGGTGACCATGGGCCAATCACCAGGGGAGATTGTGAGTTCTAGTCCCGCCTTAGGCATGAAAGCTAATTGGGAGACCTTGGACCACCAGGGGATTGTGAGTTCTAGTCCTGCCTTAGGCGTGAAAGCCGGTTAGGTGACCTTGGACCAATCACCAGGAGACTGGAAGTTCTAGCCCCGCCTTAGGCGTGCAAGCCAGCTGGGTGACTTTGGGCCGGTCCCTCTCTCTTCAGTCCAACTTTTACCCCATAGGGTGGTGATTGTGGGGAAAAAGGAGGAGTTATGTGTATTCTCTCTGCCTTGAATTACTTATAAAAATAATAAAGGCAGGATAAAAATCTAATAAATACGTTCTCCTTCAAGCCAGGCTGTTTTTTTTTTTTTTAAATTAAAGCACAGAGGTTATGAAATGAGAGACATTGTTTGCATCTTCCTTGCATCTGTGGGCCATCACAAGTGATGGGATGCTTTGGCATCCTTTCAACCTTAGGACCAAAGCCACAAACTTCCTCTAACCCAGGGCTTTTCAACCTTTTCACCCATTGTACCACTTTTAGGATATGGCAACATCCGAGTACCACCAGTCACCTAGCAAAGTGTCAAAAACTTGATGACCCCCCCAAAAAAGGAAAAAAGTGATAAAGTACAGGTAGTCCTCGACTTATAACAGTTCGCTTAGTGCCTGTTCGAAGTTACAATGGCACTGAAAAAAGTGCCCCCCAAGCCACAGCCGAGCAAGACACCTGCCTGCCCACCCGGCCTCGCTCTTCCTCCTGTCCGAGGTTTCCATTGTTGTGAGCATTTCTGTTGAGGATTGGCAGTGGGTGTGGGGTGGGGGGATGTTTGGTTTTTATTCCCCCCCGTCTGCTGGGTGGTTGCAGCAGGTTTCGGTCACTTCACATGACCTGGGACACTGTGACTGTCATAAATATGAATCAGTTGCCAAGCAACTGAATGTAAATCACAAGACCCTGGAGATGCTGCAACATTCCAGCTGATCGGCGCTTCTTCTGGGCTCAGCAGAAGCGCCAGGATCAGCGCCAAGCTCCAGCTGNCCAGCTGGCTTTCGTGGCTAAGATGGGACTAGAACTTCCAGTCTCCTGGTGATTGGCCCAAAATCACCCAGCTGGCTTTCGTGGCTAAGATGGGACTAGAACTTCCAGTCTCCTGGTGATTGGCCCAAAATCACCCAGCTGGCTTTCGTGGCTAAGATGGGACTAGAACTTCCAGTCTCCTGGTGATTGGCCCAAAATCACCCAGCTGGCTTTCGTGGCTAAGATGGGACTAGAACTTCCAGTCTCCTGGTGATTGGCCCCAAATCACCCAGCTGGCTTTCGTGGCTAAGATGGGACTAGAACTTCCAGTCTCCTGGTGATTGGCCCCAAATCACCCAGCTGGCTTTCGTGGCTAAGATGGGACTAGAACTTCCAGTCTCCTGGTGATTGGCCCAAAATCACCCAGCCGGCTTTCGTGGCTAAGATGGGACTAGAATTTCTAGTCTCCTGGTGATTGGCCCCAAATCACCCAGCCGGATTTCGTGGCTAAGATGGGACTAGAACTTCCAGTCTCCTGGTGATTGGCCCCAAATCACCCAGCTGGCTCTCATGCCTATGACAGGATTAAAAACTCCTGTTCTCTTGGTTTCTAGTCTGATGCGTAACCATTAGACCTAACCGGCTCTCGGTAGTCTTGTTTACATGAAACAGGACAGTATGAGCCCCTAGTGACAGAGCCCACCCAAACCCCTATCTGTAGCAATCTAGCATTTTTAGCTTTGCATTAAAAGGAGCACGGCGGATGGAGTGGTTGGAATGCTGGACAGGTTAGCCAGCCCGCATTCGAGGACTGCTGTGGAGCAGGGTTGAGCGCCCGTCATTCGCTCCAGCTCCTTGACAGGGACATGAAAGGAGCCCCCACAGGCATCCCCAGGGCAACGGTGATGTCGCCAGCTAATCCTTTCAACCTGGAAGCACCTCGATGCTTCTGACTCAAGTGCAAAAAAAAAAAAAAGCTTTACACTTTTCAGCCCGCAAACCTCGAGTAACAGCCCGGCGTTGGCTTCCTATTCTCTGGGTACACAAGTTTGTATTATCCACCCTTGAGTGAGCTACTTGTACCTTAAATTCTCAAGCATTAGGCAAAACAGGAAAGCCTCATTGAAGCTCTTTAGCTTACCCCAAACTACTTATTTTTCTCTTTCGATCGACATCAAACAGAAAGAGGAACAAATGTCAAGAGGGAAGAATCTTAGAGCAGGGGGACCGACCGCCAAACCTTTTGATATCCCCTTTCATGTTTGCAACAGCAATCCTCAGCAGTCTGCAAGCCGAGACAGGGCAGCGGTAAAGGTGCTGGCCTAGAAACCAGGAGACGGTGAGTTCTAGTCCTGCTTTAGGCATGAAAATTGGCTGGGTGACCATGGGCCAATCACCAGGGGAGATTGTGAGTTCTAGTCCCGCCTTAGGCATGAAAGCTAATTGGGAGACCTTGGACCACCAGGGGATTGTGAGTTCTAGTCCTGCCTTAGGCGTGAAAGCCGGTTAGGTGACCTTGGACCAATCACCAGGAGACTGGAAGTTCTAGCCCCGCCTTAGGCGTGCAAGCCAGCTGGGTGACTTTGGGCCGGTCCCTCTCTCTTCAGTCCAACTTTTACCCCATAGGGTGGTGATTGTGGGGGAAAAGGAGGAGTTATGTGTATTCTCTCTGCCTTGAATTACTTATAAAAATAATAAAGGCAGGATAAAAATCTAATAAATACGTTCTCCTTCAAGCCAGGCTGTTTTTTTTTTTAAAAAAATTAAAGCACAGAGGTTATGAAATGAGAGACATTGTTTGCATCTTCCTTGCATCTGTGGTCCATCACAAGCAATGGGATGCTTTGGCATCCTTTCCACCTTAGGACCAAAGCCACAAATTTCCTCTAACCCAGGGCTCTTCAACCTTTTCACCCATTGTACCACTTTTAGGATATGGCAACATCCGAGTACCACCCGTCGCCTAGCAAAGTGTCAAAAACTTGATGACCCCCCCCAAAAAAGGAAAAAAGTGATAAAGTACAGGTAGTCCTCAACTTACAACTGTTCGCTTAGTGCCTGTTCGAAGTTACAATGGCACTGAAAAAAGTGCCCCCCAAGCCACAGCCGAGCAAGACACCTGCCTGCCCGCCCGGCCGCGCTCTTCCTCCTGTCCGAGGTTTTCATTGTTGTGAGCGTTTCTGTTGAGGATTGGCAGTGGGGGTGGGGTGGGGGGATGTTTGGTTTTTATTCCCCCCCCCCCCCGTCTGCTGGGTGGTTGCAGCAGGTTTCGGTCACTTCACATGACCTGGGACACTGTGACTGTCATAAATATGAATCAGTTGCCAAGCAACTGAATGTAAATCACAAGACCCTGGAGATGCTGCAACATTCCAGCTGATCGGCGCTTCTTCTGGGCTCAGCAGAAGCGCCAGGATCAGCGCCAAGCTCCAGCTGGAGCCTGGCACTGATCCTGGCGCTTCCGCTGAGCCCTGACAGCCCTGTAGCGCCAACCATCTCTCACTCAGGCTTGTGTGGTGCTGCCACTGGTTCAGCTCATTCCCCTCCCACTGCCCCTTTTCTAGGATGGTCGCGTACCATCTACCAGGTGCCAATCTACCACAGGTGGTATCCGTATCACTGGTTGAAAAGCCCTGCTCTAACCATCCCTTCTCAGAAAAAGGTCATTTAATGACCGAAAGCCTCTCTGCGCTGTTACCAATTACAAGCTTCCAGCTTCCGCTTGTTAACTAGCATCAGGAAGAGCATAAGGCCCTTTCCTGTTGAAATACTAGAGAGGCGCCACTTGTCAGCAAAGGCAGTTCAGGGCAAATGACATCTCTGGTTTTTTTCCTCTTCCTGTCTTCTCTGGAAGGCGAGTAGAATAAGGGACAGGTGTCAGTGGAGCAAGGATGGGGAAAGAGCAGGAAGTCATGTCCCCTTACTTGGCACTCTTGGTTGTCCCGATAGGCAGCTAGCGCTTTCAAATATTCTTTCTTGGCGGCTTCCGTTTTCCGCTTGTAGACCTACGAGAGGAGAGATGGGAATTACAAAGCAGGCTGGGTCTCCGTTTCAAGTGTTCATTATCACAGACATGTCAAACACAAGGCCCGGGGGCCGGATGCAGCTCGCGAAGTGGTTTCATGTGGCCCGCAAAGCCATCCTGGAAACAGTGAGGGAACGGCCCCCGCTGCCTTGGCCCTGGCCCAGGCCCAGGCCGGCCGGGAGCCAATGTACAATTTTGTGATGGCCATCTATGCTGAAACGCATTCAGTCTTAGCTCCACAAGGCCGTCTGGAAACAGCGAGGAACCGCCCCCTGGGTGCATGCTGGGGAGGTGTCACCCTTTGTGAGGAATGAAGAAATGGACCATCGCCTGGAAGTGTCCAGCAAATGGCCCTCGCCTACTTCACATATCCGGCTTGATGGGCTCCGGTGGAGAGGTTTTAGCAGGCAGTGAGGCTCTTCCAGTGGACCATGCCTTGGCGCTTGCCCTGGTCCCACCCCCTTCTGCCAGAGACCCTCAGATGTGTCCCACTCCTGCCCAGGCCCCCACAGGCACCCTTGACGCAAACGATGTAGAGCTGGCCATGCCCACCCAGTAGGCCACACCCACTCCATCCACGCCCACCCAGTAGGTCGCATCCACTCTGGCCACACACACCCCGAGGGCAACCGCAATGCCGATGCGGCCCTCAATGAAATTGAGTTTGACACCCCTGACTTAGCAGAAAGAAGGATTTTAAAAAACACAGTTACTCCCTTGCCTGCAGTCATTGATGTAGAAAAGGGCTTGGTTTGGACCGCTTAGAAATGGGGTTCGGCATTTAGGGGAGCAAAGGAAGCAGGTGTGGGAACGAGACTTCTCTGGGCTCTTCCCTTCAGGCTTGGCACTACATTTCCCAGCATTCCTCGCAATTTGTCTCTGTTGCCTGGCTCACCCTAATACAGTATCTCTCAACCTCAGCAGCTTTTAAGATGGGTGGACTTCAACTCCCAGAATTCCCCAGCCAGCATATGGAATACTGAAAGTTGAAGTTGACGAGGTTGGGAAGCACAGCCTCGTAGCGTAGATAGGCCTTGATTTACAATCACAATGGAGCCCAACATTTCTGTTGCTAAGCGAGACATTTGGGTTCTGCCCCATTTTTACGATTTTTCTTGCCACAGTTCTATAAGTGAATCATTGAGATGTATAAGTGAATCATTGCAGCTGTTAAGCTAGTAATACGCCTGTTCAGTCAAACTGGCTTCCCCGTTGACTTTTGTTTGTTAGACGGTCGCAAAAGGGGATCTCATGATCCGGCACACTGCAACCCGTCATAAATATGAACCGGTTGTCAAGTGTCTGAAGTTTGATCATGTGACCATGACAGCTGTAAATGTGAAAAACAGTTGTAAGTCACTTTTTTTTTCCCCCAGTGCCACTGTAACTTTGAAAGGCCACTAAACTAATGATTGTAAGTCAAGGACTATCTATATACTGCACCGTACAATTTAATAGGAAATGGCTCAGATTTCATCTGAGGCAAGTCCATTATTAACCTGGAAAGCTTCTGGTCCACTCAGAGCAGCACTGATTAGTGCTCCAGAGGCACTGATAAAAGATCATTTAATTGAAATGGATCAATGACCCTCCAAAGAAGACAAAAAGCTAAAAGGGTTCCGGATTAATCAATCAGATTTTTTTTTAAAGGAATGGCTTTAGAAAGTAGCCAGGGTTAACCAGGTGGCTGCCTCCACTGTGTTGTGCGTGGGGAAGTGACATCCATCAATCAAGAGCAGAACACAAGCGCCTGTCTCTGGAAGTTCCCATTTGTTTGCACCAGCCTCTGTTCCAGTGTTTAAGACATGTGGATTTAAATCCAGAATTCCCCAGCCAGCATATGCTGGGAGTTGAAGTCCACACGTCTTAAAGATGCCAAAGTCTGTGACTCTCCAGCTCAAAAAGAGCCGAGCGCTAAGAAAAACCCACTACTTTAGTATCAATGATGCTCAATGCATCACACGGAACTCGGATCAGACTTTAAGGAGGAAGACTTCATGTGTTCATCTCCCAAGAGATTATTTCACATACACACATCTTTATAAAGAATCCCATCGTGCCATCTTACCCAACCTCTGCCATTTTAGGAGGTTGTGAATTTCAATTCCCAGAATTCTGCTGGCTGGGGTATTCTGGGAGTTGCACACATCTTAAAATGGCTAAGATTGGAAAACATTGCTCATTGTTGTCTGCTGCTCTTGAAGGGCCAGCTTCCTCAACTTGTTCCCCACCAAGCATCAACTTAGTTGATCAACGTAATTGATTTTTCTAGCACAACTTCCGTGCAAGATGTTTGGAGGTGAAAACTGGCGAATGCAGACTGACTCTTTCTTCCAGGGCTCCAGCTGGAATCTCTGGGGTGCTGTCCTTGGTGCTGAAGTTTGGAGATGGGTGTGGTGTGTCCCACCCCCTACAACCCCTCAATGCAACAAACCCTTTGAGACGTACTTGCTTCTGTTCCTCTCCCAAGCTGTCCCACATCGAGGCGACAATCTTGGAGACCTCGCCGAAGGTGGCTTTGGGATTCTGCCCCTTAATGGCCGCCTGGGTGTCCCGAAAAAAGAGGGCGTAGGCAGAAACGGGTTTCTGGGGCTCATTGGGATCTTTCTTTTTTTTCTGCTTCTTGGGTGGTTTCTGCTTCTTCCCGATCTCCAGCACAACCGCGGGTGCTGCAACAGGCGGTGGCGCCACCAAAGCAGGTGGGGCTGGTTTGGCGATAGAAACTTGCTATGGGACAGAGATGAACAAGGTCAGACATGCAGAAATGCCCTAGGCTGCATTAACAGAGGGACAGAATCAAGATCACGTGAAGTGTTAATACCACGTTATAAGGCCCGAGTAAGGCCACACTCGGAATACTGCATTGTCAGAGGAAAAACTCATTAAAGGCAAGAGAAAGCACACCAGAAACATCTCACTGTAGGATCCGGAGGTTTATTGGAATTTAGAACACACAATAAGTACATACCTGTCATAACCCATTGCAAGGAGGGCCAACCGTACAACCGGTCAAAGAGGGACGGCTTGTGCCCGATTGGCCCCGACGGTCAACTCTACAACAAATCTGACTGCAGCCATCTTAGTCATTCTAGGTTGCCACGAGAAAGGGAGGGGTGTGTGTGGAGATTCTTTGCTAGTCTAAACAATTTATTGTCCTGTGGGAACCAAGGTTGCTCCTTTCTCCAGGTGTAGAGGCTGGGCATTTTGTTAGAAAGGCCACCAAGCTATTCTATTGGGAAATGTAGCTGACAGCATAGCTTTGGGGTGGGAGGTTTAACTTTGTAATAGTGTGACTCTTTGGAGGGAATTTCAGACTTGGATTCACTTTTGATCATGCCGATACTACGTAGCCAATAAACATGTTCTCTGAGGAAACCTTTAGCCTCGGAGTTCTGATGTACTTGGTCTCGTCTATCGGAACCTTGACCCCTACCCTCTTTGAGTGCCACCCTTTTCTACCTTCAAACCACAACCCCATATTTCTGGGGTTCTGGGGTGACAACAGTAATTGCACTAGTTCCTTGTCCTTACCACAACTTTCCACACTACCATTTTGATATATACTGTTGCAAAAGGCAAAAGGTGTCCTGTTGCAAGGGTAGTTCCTCAATTCTCACACTTCCTGGTTCCTTATTGTATGCAGATGCAAGCACTATGGTCTACAGAAGGCCACAGTTCAAACTTAGGTTAAGTATCACTCGGCAAGCTCAGGCTTTTACTTGATCAACAAGTTCTTTGGTGGTTAGCAACTTCTAATCTATCAAGGGAACGTTGAACCAGATATACGAGACATTAATAGAATTTATTTTCTCACAGCATCCAATTTTGGTCACCATGTTATAAAAAAGACGTTGAGACTCTGGAAAGAGTGCAGAGAAGAACAACAAAGATGATTAGGGGACTGGAGGCTAAAACATTCAAAGAACGGTTATAGGAAGTGGGTGTGTCTAGTCTAATGAAAAGAAGGACTAGGGGTGACATGATAGCAGTGTTCCAATATCTAAAGGGCTGCCACAAAGAAAAGGGGGTCAATCTGTTCTCCAAAGCACCTGAAGGCAAGTCAAGAAGCAATGGATGGAAACTCATCAAGAGAAGCAACCTAGAACTAAGGAGAAATTTCTTGACAGTGAGAACAATTAATCAGTGGAATGTCTTGCCTCCAGAAGTTGTGGGTGGTCCAACACTGGAAGTTTTTAAGAAGAGATCGGACAACCATTTGTCTGAAATGGTATAATCTTTCTTGTCTGAGCAGGGGGTTGGACTAGAAGACCTCCATGGTCCCTTGCAACTATTATTCTGTATTCAGAAAGAGCTGCACAGAGCAGAGATGCAGGTTATGCCTGTGGGCAGGTGGAACAGAGTTTATTCTCATTTGCACCAGCCTTTATTCCAGTGTTTCTATCCTTGGCAACGTTAAGATGTGTGGACCTCAACTCCTAGAATTCCCCAGCCAGCATATGCTGGGAGTTGAAGTCCACATGTCATAAAGTTGCCAAACTGCTCTATTCTAACTTTTTCTGAGGTCCCACTTACTTACGTGAACCGAAGAAGCTTCTTGGACGAGGAGTGAAATGTTTTCAAAGAAAAAAACTAAGAAAGTTCAGTTGCTTTTTTGAAAAAGCACTTTTGGGACAACCATGACTAGGACAATTGAGAATTATCTATAGACAGCAGCAGGGCTGTTTCAAAAGCTACACAGGGCTGGGCATCACCTGTGTAAGAATGAGGTGGGGTTTGCAATGATGATGTTACCTAGTTGGGTAATGAAATGTCTGCAAGAAAACAGCCAAGCTCAAAGAGCACTGAGTACCCCCCGGAATTCTCCACATCTCAACAGCCCGCCCGTCAAAACTAACCCGCCTGATTTCTTCTGGCTCCTCCTCCTGCAGAGAATTGGCGGGTGAAGGGGCGGGTGTAAGCCGCTCCTCGGGAGATTGGGCCGTGGGAGGCAGGATCGAAGTTCCTCCCAGGCTGAGTCCCAGCTGAGAGCTCAGCTCTGATTGGTCGATGGTGGTCAGCTGCCCATGCCCCATGAGGCCAGTGCTGATGTCTGTCATAGGCACGTCAATGGTGACAGGTGGATTGGCGCTGTACTGGGTTCCCATGGGGTGATCCAAATCCTAGGAAAAAAAAAGGGTAAAGTTAGATTTAGAACACAGACGATCACTGTGGGGCCATCTCTGCTATGCAGCCAGGTGCCATTTTAGTTTAGTTTTCAGCCGTTCACGCCTCTGCTCTGCAGACTCAACCTGATTGTGTTATTTTCCTCAAACACACCAGCAGGATTCCCTATCACAGGTAGTCCTCGGGCTACGAGTGTTATGGAGCCTGCCCATTCCATTCGTAACTCGAAAACTCGTGGGAGTGAATCTCGTACCACAAACGAGATCACTCCCTTGCTCGTTAAGACGCACGTGGCTCGTTAAGTGAACATGAGGTATCTCGGGGAAGGCCATGGAGGGCCTAGTGATGGAACAGGCCCACAAGGCCTTCCTGACCCATTAAGATACCTCATGCTTCTCCCTCCCTTCTTGCCGCACTGGTTTCATGTGGCCCGCGAAGCCATCCTGGAAACAGCGAGGGAACGGCCCCCGCTGCCTTGGCCCTGGCATGCCAATGTACAATTTTGTGGTGGCCATCTATGCTGAAACGCATTCAGTCTTAGCTCCACAAGGCTGTCTAGAAACAGCGAGGAACCAGCCCCTGCTGTGTCGGCCCCGCCCCCTGGGTGCATGCTGGAGAGGTGTCACCCTTTGTGAGGAATGAAGAAATGGACCGTGCCTTGGCGCTTGCCCTGGTCCCACCCCCTTCTGCCAGAGACCCTCACATCTGTCCCACTCCTGCCCAGGCCCCCACAGGCACCCTTGACGCGAACGATGGAGAGCTGGCCATGCCCACCCAGCAGGCCACACCCACTCCATCCACGCCCACCCAGTAGGCCGCACCCACCCGGCCCCCCGAGGGCAACCGCAATGTTGATGCGGCCCTCAATGAAATTGAGTTTGACACCCCTGCAATAGGCTGACTCTGCAAACCGCTTAGAGAGGGCTGTAAAGCATTGTGAATAAGCGGAATATAAGTCTAAGTGCTGTTGCTGTTGCTGTCTGCCAGCCTTTTCCTCCAGCTACTTACTGGGACCCACTGAGGACCAACTCTCTGCCTGTCAAAGGCCATCTCATAGCAGGACCTCAAAAATGGGCCCTCACAATTATCTCATTGTTCTCAATGTCCTCCCTGCCAAACTGAAGGGCTGATTTTTTTTCTTTTTCATTAGCTTTGAGGAAGGACTGAAAAATGCCCCCTTTAAACTCTTAATTTAACCGTTTTTAGCAATAGCAATAGCACTTAAGCCTTACATACTGCTTCATATTGCTTTACAGTCCTCTCCAAGCGGTTTACAGAGTCAGCCTATTTGCCCCCAACAATCTGGGTCCTCGTATTACCGACCTCCGAAGGATGGAAGGCCGAGTCAACCGTGAGCCGGTCAGAATCGAACTGCTGGCAGTAGACAGAGTTTGCCTGCAATGCTGCATTCTAACCACTGGGAGGGAAGGGGGAAACAAAATGGCTGGCAGGCAGGCAGGCAGGCAGGCAGGCAGGCAGGGAAGGGAAGGGAAGGGAAGGGAAGGGAGGAAGGAAGGAAGGAAGGAAGGAAGGAAGGAAGGAAGGAAGGAAGGAAGGAAGGAAGGAAGGAGGGAGGGAGGGCAGCAGCAATAGCACTTAAACTTATATACTGCTTCACAGTGCTTTATGATGCTGCTGAAAGATGGTGGTAATCAGCATTTTCAATAGCTTTCGTAAGTAAATAAACTGCTGTCGAATCGGCAACAGAGAACCACCTTCCCTTTCCACTTGTTCCACCTCTCCAAACCCTGTTCTGATGATGTTTGGCTTACCATGGTTAGCCCACCGCTGAGCAGCCCGCCCCCTTGCTCCATAAGGCCATGGCTAATGCCCACAGGTATGTCAAGGGCCTGAACCCCATACTGGGCCGAGAAAGTGGCATCGGGGGCAGTCACGGGGTCACCCAAGTCCTCAAAGTGCCCAACCACATCGGAAACAGCCAAGGAAGGGTCAGCGTCCAGCGCGATGGGTGGAATCTCAAACTCTTCGTCGCCCAGACTTGGCGTGTGGAAAGTCTGCACGAGGCAAAAAAAAGAAAAGAGAAGGAAGAAAGTTTAATTCAAGCCGTATTAGGTTGCTCACCTAGCTGCCTTGCCTACTGTGCTAAGAGAATCCCCCTGGACTTTTGAGGGGAAAAAAGGGGGTGTCAAGCATGAAACCTTAGCCTGTGCTTTTCAACTTGACTTTAGATAAAGGGGGGGGGAGGTGTTATTCTCAAGTGGGTAGATGGGAGAAACGAAACTTCTTCGATTCAGCTACAGACCATGGGAGCATGAAGCCTTGTCAAGGACACCGGAACAACGTGGGGGTATAATAATAATAATAATAATAATAATAATAATAATAATAATAATAATAATAATAATAATAATAATAATAATAATAATAATAATAATAATAATAATAATAAAAAAAAAGTTGGAAGGGACCTTGGAGGTCATCGAGTACAACCCCCTGCTCAGGCAGGAACCCTACACCATTTCAGACAAATGGCTGTCCAGTCTCTTCTTAAAAACCTCCAGTGTTGGAGCATTCACCGCTTCTGGAGGCAGGTGGTTCCACTGGTTAATTGTTCTCACTGTCAGGAAGTTTCTCCTTAGTTCTAGGTTGCTTCTCTCCTTGATTAGTTTCCATCCGTTGCTTCTTGTCCTGCCTTCAGGTGCTTTGGAGAATAGCTTGACTCCCTCTTCTTTGGGGCAGCCCCTGAGATATTGGAACACTGCTATCATGTCCCCCCTCGTCCTTCTCTCCGTTCCTTATATGTTTTAGCCTCCAGTCCCCTAATCATCTTTAGTTGGGAAAACTATTGTTTTAAGTCTGTGAATTGGTGTGGGAACCTCTGAATTAGTTTTACTCTGAAATAACAACGCAGTGTATTCAATAAACCGGAAGTTTTGGGGAAACGGATTTAATCTTGAGTTTTATTTGGAGTCTCGAGTTGGATGTTGACAGGGGGGTTTCATCTGAAAGCTGATTTTTTTTAAAAAAGTAAAATAAAAGTCAAGCTGGAGACTTCAGGGAAGCACCCAGAGTTGTTGAAGAGTCGGGCAACATTCATGTATTATTGTTATTGTTATTATTATAGTCCTCAACGTACGACTGCAACTAGGATTGAGATTTTGGTCACTAAGCAATGCATTTTTAAGTGAATCACACCCTATCTTGCTCAAGTTGTTAAGCAAATCGCACCATCGTTAAATGAATTTGACTTCCCCCACTGTCAAAAGTAGCCGGGGGGGGTTGTAAACGATGATCATGTGACACTGCAACCAGCGTAAATACAGGTTGGTTGCCAAGCAACGCAATTTTGATGATATGACTAGGGGGATATTGCGAAAGCCGCAAATCACTTTTTCAGGGCCATAACTTCAAGCAGTCGTTAAATGAACGGTCATAAATCGAGGACTGGCAGTATTATTATTTACATTTTATTATGCTATCCCAGAAAGCTGGACCTGCCCGGTGTGCAACGGCCAATGAAAACACGCACCAAAGTGGAGATTACAAAAGTGTTTACTCTGTTCAGAAGAAGGACACAGAGGGATGTAGGCCTATGGAAAGACCACACCTTAAACCAGTGTTTGTGAACCTGGACAACTTTCGGACCTGTGGACTTCAACTCCCAGAATTCCCCAGCCAGCTGGCTGGGGAATTCTGGGAGTTGAAGTCCACAGGTCCGAAAGTTGCCCAGGTTCACAAACACTGCCTTAAACTATATATTTTGATAGGTTTACTTGCTCGCAAGACCCATAAGCCATTCCCTAGGCCAGGGGTAGGCAACCTTGGCTCTTTTATGACTGGTGGACTTCAACTCCCAGAATTCCTGAGCCAGCATGGCTGGCTCAGGAATTCTGGGAGTTGAAGACCACCAGTCATAAAAGAGCCAAGGTTGCCTACCCCTGCCCTAGGCCTAGGACCACCCAAAAGACCAACCCACCTTTATTCCCTATATTCATCCAATCGTATGCCTGTTACCATCAACGTGTGAAATTCGGCATTTTATAGAATCTACAGAATGCCAAAAAAAAAAGAGACGTCAAAGTATGAAAAGCGTAGTATTTTCACACTTTTCCTAGTCATTCTTTGCAATGCCAAAAGGGGGTCAACGGCAAAGTATAAAATATTCCTGCTAAAATGCCATTCTAGCCTTCCTTGTGGTAACAAGTAGGTCAATGCTGATCTATTTCTCTTGGTTCTTTTTTTTTTCAGTAAGAAAGTCCTGTACTTTATTTTGCATTGCTTCTTTCATTTTCATATGTCTTTTTATATATATATACATACAGGGATAGCGTTAGAGTTAAGGTTAACCTGAGCCCTAACCATTTTCAGGACTCTCTCTTCATACTTTATCTAAATAGTTCTTGTCATTCTGCTTAATTATATTATATACAATGCCTATAGAAAGCATACAGCATATTAAAATAACACAGACATTTAACAGAATAACAGAGTTGGAGGGAAACCTGGAGGTCTTCAAGTCCAACCTCCTGCTCAAGCAGGAAACCCTATAATATTTCAGACAAATGATTGTCCAAATCTCGTCTTAAAAACCTCCAATGATGGAGCACCCACAACTTCCGGAGGCAAGCCGTTCCACTGATTAATTGTTCCGACTCTCAGGAAATTTCTCCTTAGTTCTAGGTTGCTTCTCTCCTTGATTAGTTTCCATCCATTGCTTCTTGTCCTGTGCTTTGGAAAATAGCCTGACCCCCTCTTTTTTGTGGCAGCCCCTGAGATATTGGAACACTGCTATCATGTCACCCCTAGTCTGCCTTTTCATTAGACTAGACATACCCAATTCCTGCAACTGTTTTTCATACGTTTTAGCCTTTAGCCTAAAAACCTCATGCATTCTATAGATTTCCTAGGCATTCTACACAATGCCAGCTTTTCACACATTGCACATATATATTTGTGCATAATCATCATTTACAATATGTATGTATGTATGTATGTATGTATGTATGTATGTATGTATGTTTTCATAGATTTTCACGGGTACAGGTATGCAGGTCTTGGCGTATTCGGGTCTTTTCCCGTGTAAGATTGAGAGTATCTTGGCGACGTTTCGACGAGGTCCCACTCGTCATCTTCAGGCTGGGGTCTTCGGCTTCGTGCTTGTGCGAGTAAACGCTTACTCGCACAAGCTTACTCGCACAAGAACGAAGCCGAAGACCCCAGACTGAAGATGACAAGTGGGACCTCGTCAAAACGTCGCCAAGATACTCTCAATCTTACACGGGAAAAGACCCCAATAAGCCAAGACCTGCATGCATGTGTGTGTGTGTGTGTGTGTGTGTCTGTGTGTCTGTCTGTCTGTCTTTAATATGTTTAAATATTGGAATCCCAGGTATGGACATTTAAAGTCAGTAAAATAAAATGATGAGCTCCGGGATGTAAGAAAAAAGGCTTCTTTATTGCTAAACTTATTGCCATACTGTAACCGTTTTTAACTGTTATGTAAATGTA